CGTTAAAATAATAGTTTTATATTTCATGAAGAAGAAATGTTCACACTCTGCCGACTCGTACACGACGAGGGGACAACCCGAAGTAAAGTGCGCAACATTCGTGGTTCGCAAACGTCGCAAAGCGCCATGGGGGGCAGGGGGGGGGGGGGCGGGGATGTTACAGGCGGACGGCGTCACCTCTGAAGGGGAGTCGCCGTCCGCGTCTCTGTGAGTGAAAAACGAAACCCTGGAAAGGAACGACAAAGAAACCAAAGGCGGCTCGGGCGGCTCTCGCTGGGGTTGTCTCTGCGAACACGCGCAATGTCCCTCCCGTGGTGTCTGTGAGCCGTGCGCTCGCCTGGACATCAACAGGGCCCCCCCCCCCTCTACTCGTCAGCACCCCCCCCCCCTCCCTCCTCATCTCCCCCACCGCGGTCCTCCTATAGCCCGCCAAGGCCCGAGAAACTTCGCTTTTACCGACCCTTGTTCTGTTGAAGCTGAGCGTGCGGTTTAGTTCAACGACTCCACCACCACCACTGGAGACCGTCGGACGTGATGCTGAGAGTGAGACGAGGGGCTTCCGCGGATTTCTGATGGGAGTTCAGGGGCTTCCGCGGATTTCTGATGGGAGTTCAGGGGCTTCCGCGGATTTCTGATGGGAGTTCAGGGGCTTCCGCGGATTTCTGATGGGAGTTCAGGGACTTCCGCCGGTTGCTGATGGGAGTCCGAGTCGGGAGCGAGTTCAGGCGCGCGCGCGCCACGGCGAATCACCAACACCACCAACATCATCACCATCACCAACATCATCACCATCACCAACATCATCACCATCACCGCTGTTAGTGTCATCATTATCATGGAGCCCGTGACTGTCCGGGACCACGGCTATTTATTGCTTGCAATTATATAATCCATCTGTTGTTTAAAAACTGTACACCTTTGTTCGGAATGGACACCCTTCTCACCGATCCACGCACGTGATATTTATTCGTATAGCATCTCATATAATCTATTTTTTTTCTGTCATATAGAACTAGTTGCATGTTTTTGTGTGTAATGATCCCCCCCCCCCTCCCCCACTTCCCCACACGCGATTCAGGCGGCGCACCTTCAAATGTAAAAGACGACGACTGGACGATAACGGAACACACGGAACGAGTTAACACCGACGACGACGACGACGACGACGAGGAGGAGGAGGAGGAGGAGGCACCACCGACCCCGGGAACAACTCTCGAGACAAACAGGGGGGCGGGAGGGGGGGGGAACACATCGACATTCGCGTCGGACGCGTCCTGCGTCGGGACACCAGCGGTGGAAGAGTCGCGGAGTGACTGAGTGCCGCATGCGGTGGCAGTGGTGGTGTCGTGGGGGAGCGTCGCTCAAAAAATTACTTCGCATGGAAACGGGATGATGATGATGATGAAGAAGAGACGTGAACGAGCGTGGGACACGAGCGGACAGCCCCACCCCCACGCCGCTTAACGCGACGACCGCGATCCCCTCGTGTGCCACGCGCAACGCGAGGATCCTCCCAAGCAGGGCTCTCTCTCCCTCTCTCGTCCCTCACACTCCTCCTCACTAGCTCACACTCTCGCTTACTCACTCGCTAACTCACACTCCTCACTCTCTCTAACTCACTAACTCACACTCTCTCTTACTCACTCGCTAACTGACACTCCTCACTAGCTCACACTCTCGCTTACTCACTCGCTAACTCACACTCCTCACTCTCTCTAACTCACTAACTCACACTCCTCACTCTCTCTAACTCAATAACTCACACTCTCGCTTACTCACTCGCTAACTCACACTCCTCACTCTCTCTAACTCACTAACTCACACTCCTCACTCTCTCTAACTCACTAACTCACACTCCTCACTAGCTCACACTCTCTCACTCGCTAACTCACACTCCCCACTAGCTCACACTCTCCCTCTCACTCGCTAACTCACACTCCTCACTCTCTCTAACTCACTAACTCACACTCTCTCTTACTCACTCGCTAACTCACACTCCTCACTCTCTCTAACTCACTAACTCACACTCTCTCTTACTCACTCGCTAACTCACACTCCTCACTAGCTCACACTCTCTCTTACTCACTCGCTAACTGACACTCCTCACTCTCTCTAACTCACTAACTCACACTCCTCACTAGCTCACACTCTCGCTTATTCACTCACTAACTCACACTCCTCACTCTTTCTAGCTCACTAACTCACACTCCTCACTCTCTCTAACTCACTAACTCACACTTCTCACTAGCTCACACTCTCTCTAACTCACTAACTCACACTTCTCACTAGCTCACACTCTCTCTTTCACTCGCTAACTCACACTCCTCACTCTCTCTAACTCACTAACTCACACTCCTCACTAGCTCACACTCTCTCTCACTCGCTAACTCACACTCCTCACTAGCTCACACTCTCTCTCACTCGCTAACTCACACTCCTCACTCTCTCTCTTACTCGCTAACTCACACTCCTCACTCTCTCTAACTCACACTCCTCACTAGCTCACACTCTCACTCGCTAACTCACACTCCCCACTAGCTCACACTCTCTCTCACTTGCTAACTCACACTCCTCACTCTCTCTAACTCACACTCCTCACTAGCTCACACTCTCTCTCTCACTCGCTAACTCACACTCCTCACTCTCTCTAACTCACTAACTCACACTCCTCACTAGCTCACACTCTCTCACTCGCTAACTCACACTCCTCACTCTCTCTAACTCGCTAACTCACACTCCTCACTAACTCACTCTCTAACTCACACTCCTCACTAGCTCACACTTGCTCTCTCACTCGCTAACTCACACTCCTCACTAGCTCACACGCTCTCTCACTCGCTAACTCACACTCCTCTCTCTCTCACACACACACCCGCTAACTCATACTCCTCACTCTCACACTCGCTAACTCACACTCCTCACTAGCTCACTCTCTCACTCACTAACTCACACTCCTCACTAGCTCACTCTCTCTCACTAACTCACTCCTCACTAGCTCACACTCTCTCTCACTCGCTAACTCACCCTCCTCACTCTCTAACTCACTAACTCACACTCCTCACTAGCTCACACTTGCTCTCTCTCTCACTCGCTAACTCACACTCCTCTCTCTCTCTCTCACACTCACACCCGCTAACTCATACTCCTCACACTCGCTAACTCACACTCCTCACTAGCTCACTCTCTCTCACTCGCTAACTCACACTCCTCACTAGCTCACTCTCTCTCACTCGCTAACTCACACTCCTCACTCTCTCTCTAACTCACTAACTCACACTCCTCACTAGCTCACACTCTCTCTCTCTCACTCGCTAACTCACACTCTTCACTAGCTCACTCTCTCTAACTCACTAACTCACACTCCTCACTAGCTCACACACTCTCTCTCTCACTCGCTAACTCACACTCCTCACTAACTCACACTCCTCACTAGCTCACGCTCTCTCTCACTCGCTAACTCCTCACTCTCTCCCTCTCTCATCCCTCACCCTTCTCCTCACTAGCTCACTCTCTCTCTCACTCGCTATCTCACACTCCTCACTCTCTCTAACTCACACTCCTCACTAGCTCACACTCTCTCTCACTCGTTAACTCTCTCTCTCACTCGCTAACTCACTCTCTCTCACTCGCTAACTCACACTCCTCATTCTCACTCTCTAAATCACAATGGCTAACTCACACTCCTCACTAACTCACTCTCTCTCACTCGCTAACTCACACTCCTCACTAGCTCACACTCTCTCTCACTCGCTAACTCACACTCCTCTCTCTCTCTCTCACTTGCTCACACTCCTCACTCTCTAACTCACACTCGCTAAATCACACACCTCACTCTCTCTCACTCGCTAACTCACACTCCTCACTAGCTCACACTCTCTCTCGCTAACTCACACTCCTCACTAGCTCACACTCTCTCTCTTTCACTAGCTAACTCACACTCCTCACTAGCTCACACTCTCTCACTCGCTAACTCACATTCCTCACTAGCTCACACTCTCTCTCACTCGCTAACTCACACTCCTCACTAGCTCACACTCTCTCACTCGCTAACTGACATTCCTCACTAGTTCACACTCTCTCTCACTCGCTAACTCACACTCCTCACTAGCTCACACTCTCTCTATAACTCACACTCCTCACTAACTCACACTCCTCACTAACTCACACTCTCTCACACTCCTCACTAGCTCACTCTCTCTCACACTCCTCACTAGCTCACACTCTCTCTAACTCACACTCCTCACTAACTCACACTCTCTCACACCCCTCACTAGCTCACTCTCTCTCACACTCCTCACTAGCTCACACTCTCTCTAACTCACACTCCTCACTAACTCACACACCGCACTAGCTCACACTCTCTCACTCGCTAACTCACTTTTCACTCTCTCTCACTCACTAACTTACACTCCTCACTAGCTCACACTCTCTCTAATACTCCTCACTAACTCACACTCCTCACTAGCTCACGCTCTCTCTCACTCGCTAACTCACTCCTCACTCTCTCTCACTCACTAACTCACACTCCTCACTAACTCTCTCTCTCACACACTCCTCACTAGCTCACTCTCTCTCACACTCCTCACTAGCTCACACTCTCTCACTAACTCACACTCCTCACTAACTCTCTCTCTCACACTCCTCACTATCTCACTCTCTCTCACACTCTCTCACTAACTCACACTTCTCACTAGCTCACTCTCTCTCACACTCCCTCACTAACTCACACTCCTCACTAACTCACACCCCTCACTAACTCACTCTCTCTCTCACACTTCTCACTAGCTCACTCTCTCTCACACTCTCTCACTAACTCACACTTCTCACTAGCTCACTCTCTCTCACACTCTCTCACTAACTCACACTTCTCACTAGCTCACTCTCTCTCACACTCCTCACTAACTCACACTCCTCGCTAACTCACTCGCTCTCTCACACTCCTCACTAGCTCACTCTCTCACACTCTCTCTCTAACTCACACTCCTCACTAAACTCACTCCTCACTAGCTCACTCTCTCACTAACTCACACTCTCTCTCTAACTCACACTCCTCACTAACTCACACTCCTCACTAGCTCACACACTGCCTGGCTCCGCTCCCTCTCACCCTTCCCCCACCACGCTTCTCTGCGGAGCGCGGCGCGGCCCCAGACGCGCGTGGGGCCTAACGAACCCGCCCGGCGTCTCCCCGTCGAGCACACAGCGCTCGCTTGCAACCCCGTGAGTTCTACAATCAACGTCTTTACCAACGCGCCTCCCCGTCGCCGCACTCGCCTCCTCCGCCACGGCGCTGCTCAATACAATTTAAAAAAAAAACAACAACAACCACTCACTCCGCACCATGCGCGTCTCTGTGCCGCCGCCAAATTTGTGTCGCTTCTCTCCAGACTCCCAGCCCCCCCCCCCTTCTGTGCTCGATTGCTTTGTGAGTTTTAAGGTTTCCGCGGGACGGGGGGCTCGCTCCCCCCTACCCCTCGACAGTGGCGTGGCTTAAGGAGACTTGTCGCACACCCCCCCCCCCTCCTCCTCTCCCCGTGCGGGTTAATGACGGCGGCGTGAGACGTGGGCCACCTTGCGCGCGGGATGGCGAGAGGGAAGAAGGATGTAGGGAATGGGCGGGGGGGGGGAGTCGTCTCTCGCGCGTCGGGTGGTGTAGGGGGGGGGGGTGCGGAGGAGCAGGGGTGGAACCCCCCCCCCTCACCCCTCGCCCCCCGAAGACCCGGACCTCGAGGGTGGGTGGGGGGGTCCTCTGGCGTGTGCGTGGGACCGTCACAGCGCGAGCTGCAGCCAGGCGGCGGCGAGAGGGACGAGCAGGGCCACCGGTGGCACGAGGCCCGGCGTGGGCGCGGCGCGTGTGGCCGCGCTGCTCTTGTCGCATAGCGCGTACATGTTCCCCTTGAATTTGAGCTTCCGCATGTCCTTCGCCAGCGACTTCCACGTGTCCGTGGCACCCTTCTGGCAGTCGGAAATGGCGGCCACTGAGCACGCTTGAAACTCCTCCCAGTGCCTGCGGCCGCGGGGGGCGGGGGGGGTGACACAGAGCGCGCGATGAGCAAGCGGGCTCGCGCGTGCGTGTGGGTGCGTGGAGGCGTGGAGCGGTGGCGCAGCGGTTAGCGGTTAGCGCGCTGCGCCACGAACCTGGCGACCCGGGTTCGATTCCCGCTCACGGCAGACACCAGTGACGATTATCTAGGTCGACTCACCATCAAATGAATATCTGGTGCGGTGCGTAAAAAAACATCGCCACTAGGGAGACAAAGGCGGCCGGGCGTGGTGTTGGCCACCCAACCCCCTCGTGTCACCGTTCTGGCCTCCATAGGTGCTCGCTAACAGCACTTGCCCCAACAGTCTGTTGAGGCTATACGGGGGATATATGTACTTGCCTTGTGTGGCTTGTAATATGTAATGTGTCCTCTGTAATTCTTTAATTGGTAAGAGCAGATTGCATCGCCAATAGCAACTGGAAAATAAGCTGCTAATGAGACCTAAAATATAAACGAATATTCCTCAAGATATAGCGATCACGTTGTGAAGTGTACGCAAGATGCACATCGATGTCACGTGCCCCTCCAAGGTGAAAACTAATCCGCACAATGCGAAGAAGACGACTCGACATCTGTGAATCGTATCGCTGCAGTGTGAATTATCACAAGCGTCGTCTGTGTGCACATCACTATACCTTGATAATGTGTATGCATCATCTACGTACGTGTGCATACAATAATTCTAGCATGTGTGTATACAAACGTGCGTGCTAAAATACGTCTATACGTATCAGTTTACAAGACAATATGTATATACGTATATATATATGTGTGTGTGTGTGAAGTCTGTGTGCGTGTGTAAATTAAACTAATTTTTTCCTGGAGCCTACAGCAAACCCACTGTGATCTGAGCTCCTTAAACGGAGGAGGAGGAGGAGCAGCAGCGGCACGACACGAATTGCGTCTCTGTCTGCTGAAGCCGTCTCAGCGTGGCGAGCAGCAGCGGCAGACCTTGACATTTGCATCGGGTTTCCTGAACCTCGCCACGGCTGCCAACGCGCGCTCGAAACATAATCGAGTTATCCTAAATAATGTGGCAGCGTGTTGGGGAGGGGGACAGGGAGAGACGCTGCATCCAGGTCATCGCCACTGAGAATCGCCATCGCTTCTGTAGCGGCCTTGGGGGGAATGATCGGTAGCCCCCACGTCAGATCTATTTTTATCATCATCATCATCATCACGGCCCACGTGCGGAGCCGTGATGAGTGAGCGCTCGGGCTCATCCACATTCGCACCTTTGGCGACACGACCCAACACAAAACCGCATGGCCGTGGCGATTCCGCTCCATGGCTGGAGCCGACGCCGTGGGGCCCCGCTTCCAAACGGAGGACCCCCGCCGGCTATGGCTGCGCCACCGTTCGCCGTCCCCGCGTGCCTTCATCACCCCGAGGCAAGCGGCCGTGAGCGCGTTTATTTCTGATTAACGATGTGATACCCCCACCCCCCCCCCCCCACAACTCCAACCCCACGACACCCCCCCCCCCCCGCAACTCACCCAACCCCGCGACCCCCCCGGGGAGCGCTTAACGGGACATGGGGTCCTGGACCTCGACTCCAATCGCGGCGCGCGAGGCGAGAGCGCAGCCCCTCTCGCCGCCTGTACGATCATCATCCAGGCCGCCCCGTTCCGCGCGGCCTCCTCGAGCCACTCGCCGCTCGTCTCTACGATCACTTCCCGCAGCCTCGCCGCTCTCATTCCTCAGCTCCCCGTGCCGTTACACTCGTTACGTTTTTTACCGTTTAGAGACGCGCGCCTCCATTATTATAGCGGCTGTTAAATATTGTATTGTAAATGCTGTTATATGGTTGTTATTACTACGACGCTCTGACTCGAGTATACATACGTGCCTTTTTATTATAGTTGTTCACGTTGTATTTTAAATGTATTAATGAGCGATATTAATAGCTGCTGTCTATTACGCAATGAATGGGTAAAATTATGCACAGGCCTGAGATTCATTCATTAATTAGACCGGAATCCCAGGGTTGTTGATTAAAAGAGAATGAATTCCGCGCGCGTGTGTACATACATATATATACACGTGTGCGTGTAGCCGCGTGTACGTATATACACGTGTGTGCGTGTACCCGTGTGTGTATATACACGTGTGTGCGTGTACCCGTGTGTGTATATATATATCGTGAGTACTACACTATCGGTTAGCGCGCAGCGCTACGAACCTGGAGACCCGAGGTCGATTCCCGCTCAAGGCCAAAATCAGTGACGATTATCTGAACCGGTCCTGGGCCTTCCCTAGGTCGACTCAGCCTCAAATCAGTACCTGGTGCGGTGTGTAGTAAACATCGCCACTGGGGAGACAAAGGCGGCGGGGCTTGGTGTTGCCCCGACAGTCTGTTACAGGCTATACGGGGATCTTTGTCTTTGTATATATATCTACACATATGCACCCGTGTGTGTGCCTCTGTGCATATCGTTGCGTATATGCGTATGTATGTGGAGAACGGTAGTCTAGCCGTTAACACGCTGCGCCACGAACCCGCCGACCCGAGTTCGATCCCCACCTACGGTCAACTCCAGTGACGATTATCTGAACCAGTCCTGGGTCTCCACTAGGTCGACTCAGCCTCAAACGAGTACCTGGCCCGGCGTGTACAAACATCGCACTGGGGAGACAAAGGCGGTCGGGCGTGGTGCTGGCCACCCACCCGCCGCCCCCCTCGTGTGCAATGCCGGCCTACATAGGTGCTCACTAACAGCACTTGCCCCTACCGTTTACCAAGGTTATATTTAGTATGTATGTGGGCGCGCGCACGCAAGGAACTCGCAACCAGAACCTTGCCTCAAGAGCTCTGCTGCGATGGCGACACGGGGGATGCTCGTCTTGGTGCGCATGTGCCTGTACGAGTGAGTGCGGCGAGTGTGAAGATATTATTATTATACACGGGGCCTGCATACAGCAGCAGCAGCAGCTCCACGCCATTGTATCACCCGAGACACGTGGGTGGGGAGTGATGGGGGGTGCGGAGGGGGGGGGGGAACCCCCCCTATTGGGGGATCCGCCGAGGAGACCCCCCACCGCCCACGCGCTCACGGACCCGGCACGAGGCACGATTGCATCGAGACAGACACAGAGAGATAATCAAGAAGCTCACATTTTCTGCAAAGGAAGACTAAGATATCGACGTACAGGTACGTATTAAAAATAAATACGTAAACACTAATCAAATAGCACGCGACAAGATACAACCAAATATATATATAGACGTATAAATATCCCGACTGACAAATCGACGAATGCATCATATACATACGAACATACACACACGTAGCTCTCTACCGTATGTACTCATCGTCGGATGAAGACAACGAAGTTAAACGAAGCAGAATAAACACGCAAACAAACAGGTGAGTTGGCCACTCCATAGAAGAATCGCGAGACGGGGCCGGTGGTCAGGGGGCGGCCTTGTTCGCTGTGGAGCGCAATCGCGGCCACGTGGAGTAGGAGACCATCGTGGCCACGTAGTGTAGGAGACCATCGTGGCCATGTGGAGTAGGAGACCATCGTGGCCACGTGGAGTAGGAGACCATCGTGGCCACGTGGAGTAGGAGACCATCGTGGCCACGTGGAGTAGGAGACCATCGTGACCACGTGGAGTAGGATACCATCGTGGCCACGTGGAGTAGGATACCATCGTGGCCACGTGGAGTAGGAGACCATCGTGGCCACGTGGAGTAGGAAACCATCGTGGCCACGTGGAGTAGGAGACCATCGTGGCCACGTGGAGTAGGAGACCATCGTGGCCACGTGGAGTAGGAGACCATCGTGGCCACGTGGAGTAGGAGACCATCGTGGCCACGTGGAGTAGGAGACCATCGCTCCGACAGCCCGCGGCCGTCACAGTCACTGCGAGCCCACGGACCCCAACGCAGGCCGCGAGCCGCGCAACCGCCGCACTGAGAACGCGAACCGAGCGCGTGCGGCGTCGACGCCTCTCGCCCCCATGTCAGACGCGCTCACAAACGGCCTCCACGCACACGGCCTCGAGACGATTCCATAGAATCTCCCCCCCCCCCCAAATTTGTGACAATCGAATCGCAAACATGGATTTAATAATCGATTTGATCGAACACCGTGTGGTGAGTGCTTGCGTCTCCCGTGGGACTGCCGTGGTCAACTCATTTTGCGTTCGTTAAAAATAGAAATCGAAAATAATCGGGACCCCGAACGCGCGCCGATGTTCGATGGGCGCGTCTCGCCGAGTCGACGACTCTCCGTTCGTGACGCGTGTCGCAGGCACGCGCCGCGCGCGACACGCGGCCTCGTGCGGTCGCCCTGGGCGAGCGGGCTCGGCACGGAGACCGCGGAGACCTCCCACCCCCCCGGTCCCCGGGGCCCGGCTTCACGCTGACTCCACCACCTACGGGGTGCTACTGCTGGTGCTGCTGGCGCTTGCTGGTGGTGCTGCTGATGCTTCTGGTGCTGCTGATGCTACTGGCGCTTGCTGATGTTACTGGCGCTTGCTGGTGCTGCTGATGCTACTGGCGCTTGCTGATGTTACTGGCGCTTGCTGGTGCTGCTGATGCTACTGGCGCTTGCTGATGCTACTGGTGCTGCTGATGCTACTGGTGCTGCTGATGCTACTGGCGCTTGCTGCTGGTGCTGCTGATGCTGCACGCGCCTCACCGCACGAGCGTCCTCACAGCAACGGGTAGCAGCGGCTGCATAATTCATCGTAATTTATTCCTCGGATACCCGCATGCATTATTTATAGGCAGCACCCGACTGCGGTATAATTTTTTTATATATATAAATGCGGTTTGTCCTTAAATACGAGCGCGATACAGCGAATTAAATGACAAATTCATTGCCGATCTGCATCTACGCGACGGCGCGCGGCGCTCGGCTGAACCGCGGGGTCGCGGCAATTTTGTCGCGATCCTCGCCGCGTTTGCAACGCTCCCCGGTGACTCCCCGTAACAGCACAGAGGGGTTGCGCGGAGAGCCGGATTCAGGAGGGCACGCGGAGCTGAGCCGTGCGCAGAGACCCAGGTCAGTTCGCGGGGATCCAAAGGCAACGAGAGAGTCCCCGAACGCATGCGTCGCGACTGGGTGACTGAGACCCAGACCCGCGTACGGGGACTCTGATCGCAGCATCACGGCTCCGGCCCTGATCCCTCTTAGGCGATGCGAGGAAGAAGTAGGCAGAGAAAGGGAGGCGCCAAGACAACATGGCCGGTAGAAAACATCGCTGCGTCTCGGTGTGTCTCTGCGTTGGTGGGGCCTGTGAGTCCATGCCCATGTGGGGAGCGAAACGGCCCTGCGCTACGAACCCGTCGACCCGAGGTCGATTCCCGCTCACGACCAACACGATTATCTGGGCCTCACCTACGTCGACTCAGCCTCAAATGAGTACCGGTGCGGTGTGTGTGTACACATCGTCACGAGGGAGACAAAAGCGGCCGGGTGTGGTACTGGCTACCCACTCCCTCGTGTTCCGTGCCGGCTTTTATAAGTATTGTACTCACTAACAGTGATGTGTGTGCCGTGCCGGCCTGCATAGGTACTGCTCGCTTAGAGCACTTTCCCCACGGGCGACCTCTGCCTTTGTGTGCCCGTGCCGGGGCGGTGTGGGGTGCCCGTGCCGGGGCGGTGTGGGGTGCCCGTGCCGGGGCGGTGTGGGGTGCCCGTGCCGGGGCGGTGTGGGGTGCCCGTGCCGGGGCGGTGTGGGGTGCCCGTGCCGGGGCGGTGTGGGGTGCCCGTGCCGGGGCGGTGTGGGGTGCCCGTGCCAGGCGCGCGCCCCTACTTGCAGAGCGTGGTGACCGCGTGGCTCTCGTCCATGTCGGGCCGCACGCGGTTCAGCTGGTCTCCCAGGCGGTGGAGGCAGCTCGAGAGGCCCGCGTAGAAGGCGTCGCAGCGGCCCGGCGAGTCCGCCTCGATCACCTCGTTCCCCCGGTCCTGGCACAGCGCTGGCGAGATGAGGTGAGCAGGGTGGGGGGAGGGGAAGAGATCAGCCAAACGAACCACCCCCTCCTCCCTCCCCCCGGGGGGGGGGGGTTTGTACGAGGAGGTCTTCCCCCGGGTCGGTCAGGGTCGCGTCTGCATTGAAGCGGCCGGGGTGGTGGGGAGAGAGCGTGGGAGAGTGTGGAGAGGCGACATCTCTCTCTCTCTTTCTCTCTCTCTCTCTCTCCATGTATCTCTCTCGCGCTCTCTCTCTCCGCCGACGCGGACAGCCCAAGATGGCGTGACAGATGTAGGAGCGCAGTGGATTAATGCTGCGCGCGGTTTATGTTGTTCGAGGCACTAATGTTGAAACCACGGGCACGGAGCCAAAATCCCCCCCCCCCTCTCGCACCCCCCACTCGCACCCCCCCCCTCGCACCCCCCCTCGCACCCCCCCCTCTCGCACCCCCCCTCTCGCACCCCCCCCTCTCGCACCCCCCCCCCCCTCTCGCACCCCCCTCCCCCCCCCACACAGACACTTGTACACGTGGCGCCAGCTGTCGCGGTGTACGCGCGAGTCGCGAGTCGCCAGCAGCAGCACAAAGAGGAGCCGTGGAGCGGCCTGCGGTGCAGCAGGCGCGCGCACATCGTGCACAATCACGCACAATAGACAAAGAACCCCCGTATAGCCTTGAGAGAATGTTGGGGCAAGTGCTGTTGGCGAGCACCTATGAAGGCCGGTACGGTACACGAGGGGGCGGGGTGGCCAGCAGCCACGCCCGGTCGCCTTTGTCTCCCCAGTGGCGATGTTTACTACATACCGCACCAGGTAACTCATTTGAGGCTGAGTCGACCCTAGGGGAGGCCCAGGACCGGTTCAGATAATCGTCACCGACGTTGACCGTGAGCAGGAATCGAACTCGTTTCGTAGCGCTAACCGCTACACGACCGCTCCCCACACTCTGGCACACCCACGCACGTTACTCACACGCGCGTCGTCAAGTGCACCACACACGCGCATCAATACTAACGAACTCCTCCACGCACTAAAATTCACACTCGCGTTTGCAAGCACAAATGTACACGCACGCGCACGCGCGCCAGGTTACACGCACCCACGTGTCACATACACGCACGCGAACACACACACACGTGTCACATACACACACACACACACGCACATGTACACCCACTCCCACAGTCACATTTACACGCACCCTGAATAATGCACTAACATATGTACGCAGTCACAAAGACAAAGCTCCTCCGTGTAGCCTTTTACGGTCTGTTGGGGCAAGGGCTATTAGCGAGCACCTGTGAAGGCCGGAACGGTACACGAGGGGGTGGGTGTCCTACACCATTGCCCGGCCGCCTTTGTCTCTCCGGTGCTGATGTTTTTCACACCACATAAGGTACTCCGTTTGAGGCTGAATCGACCTAGGGGCGGACCCAAAAACGGTTTAAATTATCGCCCCATGTTATTCGGTCGTGAGCGGAAATCGAACTCGGGTGGCCGGGTTCGTAGCACGGCGCAATAGCCCCAGCGCGCAGCCACGTACACTCACTCACTCACACACTCACTAACACACTCACCCTCTCACATACTCACCCACCCACTCACATACCCACTCACTCACCCACTCACACACTCACACACTCACCCACTCACCCACTCACCTACCCACTCACCCACCCACTCACCCACTCACTCACCCACTCACACACTCACCCACTCACTCACCTACCCACTCACCCACCCACTCACCCACTCACTCACTCACCCACTCACCCACTCACTCACACACTCACCCACTCACTCACCCACTCACTCACACACTCACCCACCCACTCACACACTCACCCACCCACTCACTCACCCACTCACCCACTCACTCACACACTCACTCACCCACTCACTCACTCACCCACTCACCCACTCACTCACCCACACACTCACTCACCCACCCCAGTGCACGCGAGGCGCGATCCCTGTCGTCTCCTCGCCCATCGTCCTGGGGAGGTGCGGGGGGGTCAGGGTGGAAGCGGGGACCCCCGGGACAAACCCGTCTATTCCCTGCCTTGGATTCATTGCACATCGGTCGTTGCGAGTACAGTGCCGTACGCGGTTGTGCGTGCATGCTCCTCTATGTGTGTGTGTCTGTGTGTAGAGTGTAGGGTGGAGCGGTGGTGGAGCGGTTAGCGCGCTGCGCTATGAACCTGGCCACCCGGGTTCGTTTCCCGTTCACGGCTAACACCAGTGACGATTAATTATTTGGACCGATTTTGGGTTAGACTCAGCCTCAAATGATCGCCACTAGGGAGACGAAGGTGGCCCCGTCGCGTGCCGCACCGGAGGTGCTCACTAACAGCACTTGCCCCAACAGTCTGTCAAGGTTATACGGGGGATCTTTGTCTTCGTAAGGGGAGCGGTAGTGGGGCGGTAGTGGGGCGGTAGTGGAGTGGTTGCGCGCTGCATTACTAACCCGGGGGCAACGAATTCGATTCCTGTTCACGATCTAATAACTGGAGATGATCTGAACGAGTCCTGGTGCAGTATGTATACATCAGCACTGGGGAGACAAAGGCGGCCGGGCGTGGTGCCCGGCAGCCACCCCTTCGTGAACCGTTACGGATTTCATAGGTGCACGCGAACAGCACTTGCCTCAACAATGTGTGCAGGTTACACTTGGAATCTGTATCTTCATGTATATACATATACATTAGTTTGTATGTCTTTGTATGTACGTGCGATCTAATAACGTGCGTATTTGTGCGTGTGTATGCTTCTGTATATGCGTGTATATATAGAGTGCATTTGTGTGTATTCGTGTGTGTGGCTGTATATGCCTGCCTGTGTGTATATATGTAAATGCTACTGGTGAGGTCTGTAAACATCGCCACTAGGGCGTATTGCTGGCCACCTACCCAGCCGTGTTCCGTGCCAGCTTTCATAGACGCTAACAACATTTCATAGACAACATTTCCCCAAACAGTCTGTTTAGGCTATACGGGGGATCTTTGTATTTGCGTGTATATATATTTACGTGCGCAAACATTGTATGTGTGCAGTTTATGTAGTAGTCGTGTATACGATGTTTACGTTCTCTCCTGAAATGCATTCAAATATTCAACGTCGAGTCTGCGAGCTTTTTCAATCCGACACTTCCATTTTTTTTTCTTGCCGAACAAAAAATATTTCGGATGAATAACCGCACCGAGATGATCCGACGAGGAAGAGAGAGAGACACACAGAGAGAGAGAGAGAGACAGAGAGGGATACAGCAATAGATACAGTGAAACAAAGAGAGAGAGACAGAGAGAGACACAGCAATAGATACAATGAAACATAGAGAGAGACAGAGAGAGAGAGACCCGCACGGGAATCGATGAATCCCGAGCAGCGCATCATGAGCGCCGACCCACAGTGTGGACCGTGTCCCTCCATTCAATTTCCCCGGACAGTCGCTCACGAGCTAATTAATAATACAGCGTATTTGTTCACTTCACCTGGGATGAATAAATACTCTCTCGGTCTTTCCAACCCCCTGTTCTCCCCCCCCCCCTCCTCTCGCATCCCCTCCCTCCCCATGCCGTGTATTAACATCTTGTAATAGACCTGCGCGTGTGAACTTTAAAAATACTGTACGCGACCTCGACGTCCGGACGCGTTTGAGAGGAGCGCCTGGGGTCGCGACCTTCGCTGCTGCCACCGCCTCGACACGAAGATCAGCGCGACCCCTAGACGCGACCTGACCCCCTCCCCTCTCCATCCCGCCTCACCGCGCGTGCTTGTGGAGCTGCGTGCGAGGGATTCTCGTGTGGGGGGGGGGGGGTGTGGTCGCTACGAGACGGAGGCTCGAGCGAGGAGCGAAAGAAAGAGCGGCGGGGAGACGGCGGGCGGCGAACGGCGACTCTGGCAGAAGACGGCGGCGAAAGCGAACGCGGCGGCGGGGGTTTGCACGGAGAGCGCGCGTGTACCCCCCCCCCCCTCCCAACCCCCCGTATCTCCCGTGTCTCGTGTCGCCCGTGATGTCCGTGTCCCGTCCCCTTGTCTCCCGTGTCTCGTGTCCCGTCCCTGTGTCTCGTGTCTCCCGTGTCGCCCGTGCCGCCCGTACTCTCGGCCGCATCGCGCAACATCAGGGTGAACGCGACACGCGGCGAATTAATCCGTCATCGACGAAGAGAGCACAGCACCCGTGCCACTGTGAGGAGGCACCGGTCCACGATAGCGAGGATCGAATGACGCGCCACGGTGGGAATGAACGGAAGCCACGCGAGGCGAATACAAAAAAAGATTGGAACGACGATAAAAAAGTAGTGCGTCATCGTGAGAGATAACATCGCGCAACGCGAAGATAATTAAATTAAAGCGACATCGCTGATGGAATTACATAACATCGAGATTTGAACAATAATAATAATTCCACTACGATGCAATACTGTAAGAGGCAAATGATGAATAATATAACCGGGAATTTAAACGTCGTAAACGTGAAACGGCTCCGTGAGAGCCTCCGCGTTTCCCCCTGGGTGAGGGACTCGGCCGAGCCGTCTCGGCCCACAGCGCGCTCCGTGCACTCCGTTGACGATCACGGAGCGCCGGGGTTCCGCTTTCGTGTGAACGGAGGGCGGCAGCGACACGGACTCGAGCGGGGACTCGGCCTACAGCGATCCCTGGCGCTCACGCGCGCGCCGATTGACCCTCCTGGATGATGCATCTCGCAACGTCCGCGATTAATCGGCTCGCCATTCGTTATTCCTAAAGCAAAACAAAAAAAGACCCGGCGGACAAGGAGACGGTAGCTACTGCTGCTCTGCTGCTGTTGCTGTAAATGATCGGCAAAACGCAGCCGCTGCAGCTGCCCAACGCGAACCCGCGCTTTCCGTGTCCGAGTTCGCTGGCCGTGCCTGCCGAGCTAACCCATGATTGTCACCACCGCGCTCTCGTGAGCAGTTTGCGCATATCGGGGCAGGCTCCCCGCGAATGGTTTTTTTTTTTTGTGTGAATAGCGGCAGCAGTAGCAGCGGTAATAATCATGATCACAACAATAACAGTAGTAGTAGTAAATATGCTGACCACGGGGGAGGCGCACGCGTGACGCAAGTAGCTGTGCTCCTCCAGGGTTGCAGGGCGCTCGTCTCATGAATAAAGGACGGCGCAAGGAGGCGACTTCAATCAGCCGAGCCGCTCGCGCTGCGCCTCGGCTCCGCGCGCGGCTGGGATGAGAGGCGCGCGGCACCGGAGCGGCTCAGACGCTGACACCGACGAGGCGCGAGGCGCTTCACCCCACACAGACTTGTTGAATGGACGCCCAACGGCGGCGAGCCCGCGTCTCACGCTGTCGCTCGCTCTTTCTCTCTCTCGCTCGCTCTCTCGCTCTCTCTCTCTCGCTCTCTCTCTCTCGTTCCACTCTCTGCGCCGGCAACCGCAGCAGCGACACTCACCGAAACGGAATGCGAGCGCTAGGAGGAGAGGGGCCGAGCGCAGGGCGGTGCAAGCCATCGTCCTTGAGCTACCTGCATGGGCCCGGGCACGGCGAGAGTCTCGCGCGGAAGAAAAAAAAATCGGGGGCGGGAAGAGGTGGGGTGGTGGTGGTGGTGGTGGTGGGGAGCGCGCGGGGACACGCGGACCCGGCGCGGGGAGAGCGCCTGGACAAGCGACGGCCCTCGTTCTTCTCTGCGCCTCGGTCGCCACTCGTTCGCAGTGGCGGTGGTGGCCCGAGCGAGCCGCGGCCACGGTGCTGAAGGCGCTCGCGTCCGCGCGGGATTTGGACTCCCTCCTCGCCTCCCTCCCTCCCCCTTGCGCGCGGCGCGTGCGCGGCCGGGCCCCCGTCTCCGTGCACGAGGAGGCGCGTGCGCGCGCGCGCGTTAAGAATCCGCGTTGTGACGCCGCCGCGTGGGCGCGCGGGTCTCGGGTGCGCACGCGATGATTCCCCCCCCCCTCCCGCCTCCTCCCCCACCTCAAATCCAACCCCCGCTTGCGCGCGTGCTCGTGTCCTCGCGCCCCGTGTGCGCGTGCACGAGGAGGCGCGTGCGCGCTGACGTCAGGCGGAGTATGGGGCCTTTAGCGCCTTCATCTTAGCCCCTCCCCCCCGAATGAAGTCGTTAAACCACGAGCGGTGATTTCACTCGGGCGATGAAGACCAAATAACGTCCCTTGATTCTCATCACGACGGCCCGGGCCTAGACGTGCGCGATGATGCGCGCGAGAGGGATATATTGACTAAGGGAGGTGTAGGCGTTTTTATCAGCGAGACCCCCAAATGTTGCTTTTGTTCTGATGTCGACTATTAAGGGGGGCAACAACGC